GGCGCCCAGAGCCGAAGCCAGGGCTGGGCTGTCCGCAGGGCGCGCAGGAGCTCCAGCCCCGGCCTCCCCAGCCCCAGCCCACGCGACCAGCAGCAGCTCTGCCCTCCCTCCCGCACCCACCACCAGCAGCGTCACCCCAGGGCCCCTCACACGGCGCCTCCTGCACAGGCCATTTCATCGCTCTGGTGGCAGCGGGGACGGCGGCCGCCTTTCCTCTCCTGCTCCTCAGCCGTCCCCTCGCTCCGTGACCTGGGCACCCCCACTCGCTCTCCTAGTCCAGGCCGGTTCCTGCCCGGCTCAGGCTGCCCGCTCAGCCCTCCTGCGCGCTGCTGCTCGCGTGCCGCTGCCTTCCCCGGTGTCCCCCCTTGCTCCCTGCCTCCCGTCTCCCGCTCCACGGCTCTCTCCTGTACCTGCTCCGGCTGCTCCTGCTCAACGAGACGGGAGATCTCGTCCTGCTCCTGCACTTCCAGCTTCCTCACGAAGAAGAGCAGCTCCCACCACTCGGCCCGGCTCAGAGTCTCTGCACAGTCCCCCGGCTGCTCCCGGATGTAGGGCAGGGAGTGCAGCCCCGCAGAGGGCTTGGAGACGCGCGGCCGCGCGACTGCGGGACAGCCAAGGCAGGGAGAAGGCCATCAGCTGTGCCAGTCCCTCCAGCAGAGCTGTCCTCAGCCACTGACCTCTCTCTCCTGAGAAAAAGCTCATCACAACTTCTGAAGGAATGGGTTGACAGGTAATTAATCCTGCCAGCCACTTCGCTCTTTCCATCATGCCCACCTGCTGGCATGCAGGGCCAGGACCCACAGGCAAAGGAGACTGGGGAGCTACCTAGTTCCTTTTAGCTAGTGCATCCCAAAACAGTGAAAAGGAGATAAAAATCCATTATTAAAATTTTCACTGGATAATTTAGGAGCGGGAGCTGGAGCTCAATCCACACTGGCTGATATCTGCAAATGCAGCTGGGGGACACACTGCTTCAGGGCTCAAGAGAAGAGAGCCCAGCTTGCTCCAAGAGGCCCAGCGCCTCCAAGAACAACTTCATATGTGGCTGATTACTGACAGTCAACTAACATGAGAAACTTATCCAAGTGCCAAGGTCCAAAGCAGGAAACTGCTAATTTACCAGTTTGGTTTCTCTTTGGCATACAATGATTGGAAACAGTTTTACACAGAAGTGAAATAAACTTCATGTTTCTGTCAAAAATCAGGGCAAAGACCAAAGTCAAAGCATAACCAAAGCCTAAGCCTAACCAAGCAAAGCATAACCAAAGCCAAAGTCTAACCAAGCTCATTTTAATACAGTCAGCACAGTGGTGTGCAGTTAACATTTTATCTGCTAAGGGTAGAAACCTATAATGGATCTTCCAACTGGCAATAAGAATATCTTAAAATCAGATTATACATGGGATTAGCAGTGAATTTTCTGTCCCTTGCACCAGTTTAATCCAAACCTTCACCACTCCAAAAAGACCAGTCCCACAAAATCAAGGCAGGGAGGGAGAGAGGCCGCTCAAAGAAAGTAATCCATCAGGATCCCACTTCCTAGAGATTCTGTAGTTGTCTTATGAAAGCAGAGCATTTCAAGATCAACTCCTCCCAGACTGAGGCATGAAATTAAACCAAATGCTTTTTAAAAGCCACAGGAGTCATATACGGGGATCAGAGGGCTTAAAAGGCAACTTCACCCCCAAGAGATTCCAGATCTCTGGTTTGGCAGCTTCTTTAGTTAGTTGTTAAATATGTTTTTGGTTGTCTCGAAATAAATCGACTTTTATCCTTTTATTATATCACGACAAAAGTCCAGGATTCAAAGATAGCCCCATGCAGCCACAAGCCATGATTGCTTGACCAGCTCTACCCTGCTTTACAAACTAAAAGCTGATGATGCTTTCTAATTCCCACCCACCATATGAATATTTTCCCAGCCTTTTAAGCTTTGCCATTCAAAAACATGCCAGAGCAGAGTCAGAAAGAGATGATAGTCACATGCATGCAGCATGTGCTCACCTGTGTCTAGGTTAGAGCCCTCTATCCAACTATATACTTTTTCCTGACCAGCAGGCTCTTTGCGCTGATCTCCAAAGTCAATAATCTCCAGCATGTGCCAATGCACCCAGCAGGTCCGACCTGTTGACTGCCATAAAACCTGTGGGTGAAACAGAGCTAGGTGATTAGATTTGCCACTCACTCAGTCCTCATGTTATATTTGTCCTCCTCTTTCCCAAATGAACGGAAACAGAAAGCACTAAGCAAATATAAAGCAGCTTAATCCGTATACAGATTTCTACACAAGTTGTCTGTTTTTAAGCATATTGTCTTTAACCTGTTCCCCTGACCAATGATAATAATAATAATCTCAGGATTGTATGCAAACAATGCAGACCTCTTCAGGATGGCAGCAGTAGGTTTGGTAAAAATTCTAGGCAAACACTTGCTGATGAATATAAAGAAAACATGTTTTTTCCATTCTCTGACTTTATCTTCTCTTGATCATATTTTTATACCCTGGTCACTTGCCACTGTGGACTCTTGGGCAAATTTCTTGCTCGTAACTTGTATGTCTCAAAGAAGATAACTGGTTCCTGTGTAATCCAAGCTGCTTCTCAAAATCCTCTTTCATTTCCCATATAGCACTTTTACATTTAACCTTCTGGCGTTAAGTTTCTTTTCTCTTTCCCATTTAAACACAACTTCATTTTTTTGAAAGATGCTCTATCTTATTCCTAATAACTTTCCTATCCGGACTTTTTACAACCATTTTTCTCTTTCTTTTTTATATTTGTGTGTGTGTGTGTGTGTGTGTGTGTGTGTTTTGGCTTGTTTTTTTGTTTTTGACAAATGTGAAATGCTTGCTTTGGGTCTCTCCAGAAAGTCAAGTAGGGTCCTTTATTTAACTCTCTTAACAATCTGTGTTTCATAAAGGAGACTTCAAGCACTTCCATTTAATCCTCAAAGATGATCAACTGCAGAGATATTTTGGCTTTCATTATTTATTTAAGAACATGGAAACAAAATACACTGCAGTCCCTGTCAGGAGCAGCTTTCTAAGAATAAGGGATGGATCCCAGTCCTGCACTTTGCTCAGAACCAGCACAGCACTGCCTCTCCACAAGGCAGACATTTAGTGTTTCTATATTTACTCATGACATCCCAACTCCATGTGACACTTTTGCAACTCACAAGGCAGTAACTGAAGTCTTCAGGTTTCCTGCCCTGGCAGCTTTGCCAACTTTTCTCAGCATTGCCCCTTGCTCAGGCAGTTGATGAAAGCATCAAACATTATGATTCTCCTATTTATGTCTGGCCTTTGAGGCCTTAGGATTTCTATCTTACTAGCTGAAAGCGTTCATTTGTCTTTTCTAGCTCCTCTCCCACATCAGCCTGTGCTGTCTCAGGCCTAGCACAAGTATCCTAGTGTTACACAAAGCCCAGCTGATGAATTGTCCTTCAAACACGCTTGGGCATCCTTCTTTGAAATCAGACATCAAAATCTCCCCTCTTATTTTCTGATTTCTTCTGTTGTCTTTTTCACTCCTGATACAATTTGGTGCCTTTGTCCAAGGCATTTATCCAAGAGGATAAATCATTCTGGACCAGTAATCCTTCCATCTCTTTCATCTCTCCCTTCCTGTGGAGTTTAAAAGCTCTACGACACCTTTCTTGACATTTAGGCTCACCACCCCGGTTCCAGTTTAATTGAGACCAGGGAGAAGCAATTCTTGTAACTAGGACTCAATAGGACAAGTTGCTTGCTGGCAGGTAAGCTGTCAATACAAATGGAATTGTCAAAACAAGTATAACTAGTGAGACTGGAAAGGTCCTAAGAGGAGCAGAGAAAATCAAGTGTCCTCTCAGAGAGAGAGCAATAGCAAAGGTGAGAAAAACATAGATGATCAAGAGATGATTTGACAAAGATGATTCTCAGATGTCCAATTTCCAGCATCTCTTGGTGGAAAGAATACCCCTCGCAGATAAAAGACACAGCTGCACAAATTGTATCCAACTTAGTCAGAAGAACAGCCCCATAAGCACTGCCACTCACATGCCAAGGCTTAAGACCCCAGGAGCAGCTCTTGCTGCATTACTTACTTGTGAGCTAGCCTGCTCCCAAACCATTCCAAGACTGAACACAGGTCAGGGACTACAGCAAGAAGGTAGGGTATACTCACCTGCTTTGGAGGCTTAAAACAACCTTAGCAGGGCAGATGGGACTAAACCAAACCAGCTCGTATCAGGATTGTGCTCTCTAGCCCCAAGAGGCACCTTCTTTGCTAGGACTGACTAGCCAGCATCAAAATTATAATAAATTCATTGTCTTTCAGATGGCAAAGATGTGATTAGCAAAACACTGAACACTCTCCCCTGTTACTGCCTTCTCTGCCACCCTGGACCTCACTCCACCACTGACCTACCTGCACTGCATCCGTGCCATTAGTGCTCTGGCAACACACGCCTTCATCCCCAGCTCTCACATCGCCACAGTCCTCCAGCATACGGACCCGCACGCCACACGCCAGGTTGGCCTGCACGGACTCTGCAGAGCTGCTGGGGCAGGAGAAATTCGAGGGGGTCAGGAAAGCACAGCCCTGCTTTTTCCAGGGACCAGGATACGGAGCAAGCACAGACACTGGAGCAGCGGGACAGGCCGGGGCCCTGGGCTGGAAGATGGAGCGGGCAGCACGCGGCCGTGTCCCCTGCGAGGGCGGCAGCTCCGGCTGCTGCTGTTGCTCCCAGCCCATGACGCGCACCAGCTCCACGATGAGGCTCGCCATTGCCATGCTGAGCTCAAACTCCTGCTTCACGCGGCTCCTCTCCCCACGCCGCGAGCCGGGCTCGGCGCCGTCCTGACGCTCCCCTCCCTGCTCCGCACCGCTGCCGAGCTCGTCCACGAGGGATGTGACGCGCAGGTAGCGCTTCACCAGCGCGAACAGCAGCTTCCCGGGGACCTGCCAGAGGCACCGCGCTCAGATCCCCAGCTGCTACCGAGCCTCCGGCTTGCTCCGAGTCACTGCCTCGTCCCCACGCAGGGTCCTGGGACGCCCCTGGACCCGCAGCAGCAGCACAGAGCCCTCAGCCCATCCCCACCTCCCTGCTCAGGGCTGCTCCCCACCAGCCCCTTGCTCAGGAGCTCCCCAGCAGCCCTCAGCCTCGTGCCAGGCCCAGCTCCTTGCGCAGCCACCCGACACCCAGCCCTGCGCAGATGGCCATCCCCAAACACCCTTCCTTCCTCTCCGTCACCAGCAAGGAGGACAAGAGCCCCGGCTCCCTGCCCTCCTGACCCCCAAACCCTCAGCTCTGGACTGACAGGCCCGGCAGCCACCTGCGGGAGGTGAATCCCTTCAAAGGACATGCAGTGCTCTTCAGAGGACATGGTCTCAGCAAACAGCTCCAGCAAGGTGTAGCGGCTCTCAAAATCCATGTGCTGCTCAATGCCATCCTGCTGGCTCAGGGACAGCAGCACATAGGCCCGGCTCCCTGCAGTAACAACAGTAACCCCTCAAGTCTCATGCCACCCTACTGTGGTGGAAAGACTATGGGCGCAAGAAACAACTTACCTTGCTGCTGTGTGCCATCTATAATTGCTTTTTGTCTTTTTATCTGGATTGACGACATTTTGCTCCGTTAAATAAAACTTTTTCGTTTTCCAGCCCTTCCCACCGCTAAAGCTCTGAGACTTCCTCTCCCACCTCCTGCTGGACCCACCTCCACTAGCCACCAGGCCCCTTCCCAGCACAGCCAAGCCACATCCAGAACTTTGAGCCTTCTCCTCTTAGACAAGGAGAGCAGGCCAGGAGCTGCTGAGCCTGCTTCTGACCACTCAGGCCTAAGGAGAGGCTCCCTACCAAGAACAGGTCAGTGCCTGGCACTTGGGAGCACCCGGCAGAGACATCCTAATGCACTGCCACTCTCCTGGGAGCAGGAAGCCACGTCCAAACAGCTCCTCAGCATCCCAGCTCGGGGACTCTTTAGGGAAAAGAGCTCCCAAATCTGGCCCAGAGGACCATGCCCACGGCAGCCTCTCGCAGGGCTCAGGCTCCTTCTCCACCTTCTGCCAGGCAGCCCCGAGAGGCTCTACGTCCTGGATGCCCCAGGCCCACCCAAGGGCCGGCGCTGCTCGACAGCCCAGCGGCGGCCCCCCCTCCATCGTGTGTAGCCCGAAGCCCCA